TCTCTCTCTCTCTCTCTCTCTCTCTCTCTCTCTCTCTCTCTCTCTCTCTCTCTCTCTCTCTCTCTCTCTCTCTCTCTCTCTCTCTCTCTCTCTCTCTCTCTCTCTCTCTCTCTCTCTCTCTCTCTCTCTCTGAGTGTCGTTACTGTCGTATGATTATGCGATTGCGCATTTGTCGCATTGCGACTACGCCTGTAATGTGCGGAGCAGAGCCAGCGGAGATGCTGGTGACACACAAGATGGTTTTGCTGTCCTAATACACCTCATCATTAGCTGCAGCAGCAGCAGCAGCAGGCGCCGCGTTGCTATAGCGATGGCTGCGTGATGCGACGATATGTGCGTAGTCGCATGGTGACGTGCGGTGTCACGGCATACGGTGCGGAAAGGTGCGGAGCCTCCCACGATGCTGCGAGCGGCAGGCGTAATATATATATATATATATATAATTATATATATTGGCGCTGAAGTTCCACATGGAATCGCGAGCGTAGGGGGCTGCACTACGGGGTTGGTGCGTGGTTGCGACGGAGAAAAGGCACAGAGGGCTTCATGCTACTATATACGGTGAAATAGTGCGATGTAGGCAGCGGGGGCGGCGGTTGCGTGGGTGCATGGGGAAATGCACGCGTGCCGTTCTCGGGTTTCTTCGAGGATGTTTGCGCTGCTTGGGATTTTTACGTGCGCGATCATCACATTCCCCCCTGTGTTTCATTAAATTGTATCTTTAATGTGCAGACTGGTGAGCGAATGTAGTGCTAATTCTGTCCGTAGAAGCTATCTAAGAATGGCCCGTGTGTTCAAGAATCATCGCAAAACCTTACTACTGACTTCGTAAAATATACGCACATCATTAATTGTTTTTTTATATATCCAAAGTTCGAGTTCAACAAGTTTGTGTTTCTGCAATGGTATATTTAGAATACCTTCACCTTGTGTGCTATGTAGTATTTAGGGAAGGGTCAGGCTGGGTTCAGTGCATATTAAAGTGTGTGAATGCTCCCATTAGCTCTATGCTGCCGATACTGAAACAAGATCTATACTCGGCGTGGGCTATATTTCAACCAGCTGCATTTTTCAAATTAGTTATTAACTTTTGTCTTGGTAGGTTTACTCCGAGAGGTAATATACGACGTGACAACGCGGCAATTTACCGTTGGATGTTTTTAGCTGCTCGTTTATCGGCTGCCAATCACAAGCGCGTATTTTTGTGTAGCCGGGTTGTGCGGCGCTGACTTTTCGGTTGCTATTATCGGGGCCGATGATCGGTGGTTGCACCATAGTTGCACGCATGGGTTCAAGTGCAGTTAACGACATAAGCATGCGGTTTCCTTGATGGGCTTCTCTTTCTCTCTGTTGCAGCGAGGTCGTAAACAACAGTGAAGCTCACATCAGGATTCTAGAGCTACTGCTGAGCAAGAGTGAGAAGTTTGGAGACATGCCGGAGTTGTCGGCGACCGGTGAGTGCGGCTTTGCCTCGGCTATGTCTCAACTGTGTCTCCACCGGTCTCGCTATCGTTTCATCTCGAGATGCTTTCTAGCAGCCCCCCTTCTATTTATATATCGTCGTGTGCAGTGTTTAAAGTGGAATATCCTAGCATCAGTGTATGGCGATAGCTATACTGTGAGCTTAGGTAGACTTAACGGCATCTCTATGCTTCAAAACTGCATGAGGATCAAGTTCTAACGTGCGTATTCTAACTTCATTGCACATATCTGGCTAATCGAAAACATTTCGTACCGTCTCGTATCTTGAAACCACACTCATAGCAAGTAATCTGTATCGTTACTCCGGTCTAGTGGTCGTGCTAGAGTTGACAGTTTGTGACGCCTGTCTCGTGCTAGAGTTGACAGTTTGGGACTCCTGTTTCAGCTCCTCCCCCACGGCCTCCACGTAAGAGAGATCCAAACTCTCCACCTCCCGGAGTCACCCCAGGGGAGATGCTGAGAGGGACGAAGGATTTACAGCATGCAGAGTGGTACTGGGGCGACATCTCAAAGTGAGTTCCTTTCTTTCTTTCTTTCTTTTTTCTCCTTCCTCATCTTCTTCTTCTTCTTCTTCTTCGTCCGCATTTTCGTTTCTTTGTTCTTCTTATTATATTATTACTGCTACTATCTATAACTATTATAAGTATGATAATTTTTATTTTGTTTTCATTTCATTTTTTGTCTAGCATTCTCATCAGTCATTATTATTGTCATCCGTCTCTTTACCGGTGCTAGTTCTAGTAGCAGCGTGAGACAATCCATCACACTATTCATCAAGTTCAAGTCTGAAGGATTTATGAGTATCTAAGTTAATCGAGCACCATAAAAGCATGCTGCAATGGGTTACCTACTTTTATTGTTCTCCAATCCCCCCCCCCTCTAGATTAACGTTGAAGGCTTTGCTAGAGGTGTTAACGTGGCGTATGTCTCACGCGAACTGCCCGTGTGCAAGTTATTGCTTCTAATGTTAGGTTCCCTCTTTCTCTCTGTGTTTCATCGTGGCTAACAGGGAGGAGGTGAACGAGAAGCTGAGAAACACGTGCGACGGCACCTTCCTAGTCCGTGATGCTTCCACCAAAGACACGCACGGTGACTACACGCTTACCGTCAGGTACGTAACGTAGCAGGCCACACGGCGTCTCGCCTCATCACACCATATACGTGTCATAAATAGTCTGTCGTCCTCTTGCACTCTGATGCAGTGTAATATTCGATACGATGCTGTTGCACCCTCCCTGTCTTTACTTATTATATATTTTTTATATATATATTATTATTATTATTATACTTTCTATATATATATATCCCTTCCTTTATTTAATATCATTCTGTAAAATCCCGGGATAGAGAAAGGTCAGTGATAAGTTTCTACATTCCACCTAGCTTCACTGCGAACGAATGTGTGAAAATGTCAGGTCCGTGTCTATTAATGCTTCAGGATATGCTGCAGGAAGGCAAGTCTCTGCATATTCTATGCAGTACCCCTCTCTGTGAAATTTGCCTCAAAAGCTGAGGTGTAGTTGGTCAGTATTTGTGTGCGAATAAAGTTGAGCGTTTATCTCCCGTTATATATCACAGTTATTTTGAATGAGCTCCATGGTTTCGTATAATATATGATAGAAAGCTGCTGCTGGCCGTTAACTGGCAGTATGGCCAGTTTTAAATTATTTTGAAAAGCTAAGAACGTGAAAAATTGAAAATACCTGGGTGCTTATTGTCCATTCAGTGAGATTAGATATGTGATTGAGATATACATCTGCAATTTCGACCTCACTCATACCCTCCCCTAATGAGTAATATGTTGATCATCCCAGGTGCCTCCCTAAAACGCATTGCAACATTGAAATGTGTTTCATCATGAGCAAGAATTCGAAAGTCCTTATTTCGCAATATCGGGGGGGGGGGAGTAAACGGCAGCTTTTGCAATCTCGATCCAGAATTGCATCATTTCTTTTCCCTGCTATTCAATAGCGGTAACTATAGTTGGGGGACATTTGACACGTGCAACCAAAATACTGGCAGATATCCAATTGGTTTCAGGGTAAAACATTGCCTCGGTTTTTTGCAAGGTCATCTATTGTAACTTGGGGAACTAGGTAAAAAAATGAGTGACACAAACCTGAATTGACTTAAATTTCGTCTCTGTAGTGAGAATTAATTAATGTTTTCATGAAAGCCTTATAAACTTGAAATGGCTACAGGAGTCGTCTTTCAATCTGAACTGCATCAAGAGCTAATAAATACTTATTATTATTATTATTAGCTCTTGATTACATATATTATAAGCGTGCACTAGCCTGCGTAGCATCGTAGGTCGAATAGTGCGTATTTTGGAACGAGATCTGATTCTTGAATGGCCGGGACATTCAATGGAATGCAGGCTTGTGCCAGGGATTACATTGCGGCCACGAATAATTGTTCGTTGTAACCGATCTGAAGTGGATGCGAGATATATCTGTGCAGTGGTGCATTTGGATTAGTACGTTTTAATTTATGTGGCAAAGTTCTTGCATATTATTGCCAGCTTCCATTCCGCAATTGACTGATTCTAATCACATTGATTCTTACTCAAATGAAGAAAAGCCACCAGTAAATGAACTTTTAACACGACAATCTTCAAATTTTATATTGTTTTTCGTTTTTCTTCTTGTTTCACAGGAAAGGCAGCAGCAATAAGCTCATAAAAATATACCATCAAAATGAGAAGTATGGTTTCACGGATCCGAGGAAGACTCCGTCCGACCCGCTGAAATTCAACTCTGTCGTTGATCTCATAGACCATTTCCGTGTCAACTCACTGGCTCAGTACAACAAGCAGCTGGATGTGAAACTGTTGTACCCGCTGTCGAAACTAGTGCCGGTGAGTGCGTCTACATTTAAGTCGGCTCGTGCTTTTATTTCCCAGTAGAACGAGTCGAATCGTTGCACGATTTCACCGTCGAACCTCGAAAATAACTTTTTTTTATCGACGTTAGTGTGAGATAGTCGTGAGTCATTGTGTAAGATGGTCTGAGTGATAATAACGCATGTCGATGGCGGCAGGGGAAATATTTCACCATGATAATCGCGTGTAATATGTGTGTGCGTGCTGTGTGTGCATGTGCATGTGTGCCATGTGCGTGTGTGCTGTGTGTGTGTATGCGCGCTTGCGTGCATACATAAAGTGTGTGTGTGTGTGTCTGTGCGTGTACGTGCGTGCGTGAATGCAGACAGTCTGACCGACTGACTACACTACTGTGTAATTAATAATTAAAGAGCTACTATAATTATAAATTAAATATCAGCAAATAAATCTATACAAACAATAATACGCAACGTGTGTGTAAAACAAAATTCTCCATCCCCCGCAGATGAGCGAGGTCGACGAATCGACGGACATCGACTACATGCGCGAGCGGCTGCAGACGATCAACGCCACCTACCTGCGGCTGTCGCAGCAGTTCGACCAGTTCCTCGAGGAGTACAATCACATATCACAGCAGATCCAGCTGAAGAAGCAGGCCGAGCACGCGTTCGCGGAGACGGTGCTCTTCTTCGAGGAGCAACTGAAGCTCGTCGAGAAGCACCACAAGGACGCGCAGCCGCACGAGGTCAACAGGTGAGTAGTGCGCCAGGGGAGGAGGTGGAGGAGGAGGCAGGGGCGGTGGAGAAGGCAGGGGAGGAGGTGGAGAAGGCACAGGAGGCAAGGGGAGGAGGCGGAAGCAGTGGCACGGCAGAGGCGGAGGCGGCGGTCCAGTGAGATTGCGGGAAGATGGATTGCCGGTCTGTGGGCAGATAGGGTTGCTTGTTTGTGGCCAGAAGGGTTACCAGTTTGCAAAAGTCGGGGCAGATAAGCTTGCAGATAAGTTCGTGGGTAGAAAGAATGCCATTTAGTGTGCAGATGGGTTGCCAGTCCGTGTGGACAGAAAGGTTGCCAGTTTGTTGGCAGAGGGGAGTTTATGCCATTCTGAGAATTCTGCTCGTTAATGTTGCTTGGCGATCCTGTTCTTCGTAGGATGTGTTCGTTTACAAAGTATCTCACCGTGTCTCCTCCTCGCGTTGCAGAATACAGGAGAACTACAACCTTCTGCGATCGCGGCTGCTCGCCATCAAGCAGAGTTCCGACGAGCTGTCGAAGGAACTGAGGCAGGAGAACGCCAAGAACCGCGCGCTCGACCGCGAGATGAATTCGGTGAAGCCAAAACTGCATCAGCTCTACAAGCAGCGAGAGGACTACATAGTGTGAGTAGTAGTAGTAGCGTAGGTCGCTGCGGACTAGTTGCGGGCAGGTGGCGCCATCTCTCGGTGCCTGGCGATGCGATCTTTTGACAATTTCAAACGACTTATTTGCATGCTGTCTGTGAACATTGTTCTCCTGTCGAGATGTGTTTGGAATAAGCCAGATATGTACAACATAGAGAGTTTTCATGAACCTCATATATTCATATATCCTCCTAAATTCATGGCATAAGATTACAAGCAAAGTGATGTATCAAATTACCTCATGATTGATAACAGTCGTCCCACGCGAACGCTGAAGGTTCCTAAGACGAGAGGACTATAGTCATTTTTAATTGCACCAGTAATGTTTATAATATGAATTATTTTAACAGTATTTGTAATTTAGTAATTTTTCAACAATTTGTTCAATCTCTGTAATACATACACAAATAAATAACGAATAATAAACGGAAAGGTAATAATTGAACAATAATTTGTTTTACTTCAGAGAAGCACATTTAAAAAATCAATGGTTTGTCGTTTTAAACGAGTTTTCATGTACTTTCATTTATTGCTTTTAGGCTTTTGAATAGTCGCAATGTTCCCCAGTCACAGATCAACGTCTGGTTGCAAGAAGCATCGGAACCAAACGTAGAATCAAACATCTACTCGGAACTGAGTACAGAGTAAGTGCAATTCTATTTTACCTCCAGAATGATAGTCAACGATATGCTTGCGCCGATATAAAATCTTATATCCTTGCACCGTTAGACCATTGCGGAGTGTCGTATCACACAAAATATAAACATCAACAATGAATAACAGCAACAAAAAACAGCTACAACAACAAGGGCAACAAAAGCAGTCATCATGTGGCCATAGTTCGCATGGGAAATCCGAATCGATTGTGGACAAAATCACTCGTGTAAACAGATTCGCCTGCGGTTTTTGATCGACTGTGTGCAAAATCGCGTGACCGTGGTTTGCGTGCGGTTTTCGATCAACTGTGTGCAAAAGCACTAATCGCGTGAGCATGGTTTGCGTGTAGTTTTCAATCAGCTCTGTGCACAAGCGATAATCGACCTTCTTCCCGTGGTTTGTGTTCGTGCAGCACGACGGACGAGTACCTCGCGCTGCCGCACCACAATCAGGACACGTGGCTCTTCGACCGCAAGATGGACCGCGTCGAGGCCGAGCAGCTTCTCGACGGAAAGCAGCGGGGAACATTCCTGATTCGCGTCGGACGGACCGGCGAATACGTGCTCTCTGTCGTGTACGTAGTTATTGGTGGCGTCGCCGCAGGGAGAGGGGGGGGGGGGCGTGTTGAGAGCGTTTTGTGTTCACACGTGAAGGCAGTTGATGATATTGTCTGGCCGGTTAACGGGTGATTGTTTACAACACATGCGAGCAGTTGCTGATCAGATTGTCGTAATGCAGTGGGTTAGTGTGTTCTGGTGGCTAACATTGCTGTGTGCATAGAAGTCATCTAGTAGTTTTACAAATGCTGGAGAAATGAATTTGAATTTCAACCTTCTTCATAGAGTCTATGGAATATGGCATAGAACATGTCCATAGAAACCATCTTATGATGACAAAACAGCTTGGATGTGCCGGCAGTTTGTTGTAATGTTCCCAACTGTAATTTGCTACTCCTGTTCTTTTCTGCAGCGCTACTTCAAACAACGTGCATGACAGAGTCGGACACTGCAAGGTACTGAAGACGGAGCAAGGCTACGGATTCGCCGAGCCGTTCACAATCTACCAGTCATTGAAGGAACTAGTGTTACACTACCAACAAAACTCTCTGGCCGATCATAACGACAAACTGCCTACTACTTTAAAACATCCGGTGTGCCAGTCGTGACGACATCTCCGTCCGTAGAAGACTCTCGGAACGTTTTTGAAAGTTCCGGAACAGCGGCCGGAGCTCATGCGGTGGGTTCCGCGCACGTTGACACACTCGTCTTTCTCACGGTGAACGTCCGAGCAGCGTTAAAGCGCACACGCTCTGTCGATAGCCGTCGGCATGTGCAGTGACGTCGAGGCTGCGTGACCCGGTGTAGCCGCACGCGCGTCTGAGGCTGCGTGACCCCCTGTCGATACTCGATCGTTTCTACGAGGGTCCGGTGTTCATGAGCGCGGTGATGCGCAGCCGAGGGCGTGTGATGCCGGCACACATCTAGCCACGTGTACGCGCCCCGCCCCATCAGCAACAGCAGCCGTGGTGGAGGACATCGATGGCTCAAGCTCTAGCGTCAAAGTAGCGACTCTCGTCGGCTCGAAAAACCGGACAGCTTTGCTCGCCGTACGGCGGTTCGTTCGCGGCGGTCGCTCTCATCGTTCAGCGCGACGTCCACGGCGTTCGTTTTTCGTCATTCCATCAATCGTCTCGCGGCCGCCATCGCCGCCACTCGTCGCTCGTGTGTGTTCGCGCCTCGTGTCATTCATTCATCGTCGTCAAGCTCAATGCAGTCACTGCTTCGTCTGCGCGTGACTTCACGAGGCGTTTTTTTGATTCTGTACGATCTAACAGTCTGCGGCTTTCCGTGGCGATGGCGGCCTCTGCGTGTGGTGGGACTTTGTTGCGCCCAATAAAATATGCGATTTTTTTCATGGTGATTTTTTTCGAGAAGCCAGAGCTTTTATTTATGGAGAATAAAATTTATGGGGACGCCAACCAGGGGGAACCTTATTTTGATTGGGTTGAGGTTGAGTATTCATTATTGTAAAGGACAGGTTAGCCAGCAGTTCTACTTTCCTTGTTTTCCCTTCATGGTTCTGATTCTATATTACCAAGAGTGTATTAAGAATTACCTTCTTAATACGCTCTTGATACTACTATTCCTACCATTTCCTTGCCTTTTCTCTCTTTTTATTGTCGCATGTGAATCGCTTGGTCGCAGATTTTATAGGGGTTCATTTTTAACCTCTGAAGTCGATTCATTAGCATGGGTCATTGTGATGTTGGGGATTTTAATTACAGGGAGTTTGCTCCAACTGGAACAGCTGCCAAAAGCCAGCCCTTATATTCAGACCAGCGTATTGGCCTAATTTCATGGAGTATCAAGAAATCGTGGTCGGATGTCTAGCCACATGGTAGCTTCATCTGGTCTAGACATAATTTTCACACATGTATTAGCTTGGGCAGGTGTTTATACACTGATTATCATAAAAAATCATATCGTAATATCGTAAGTGATTTCGTGTATGCAGCACTGAACTCCTGTGCTGAGAATATTTATTGGAACAAGCATGTGTTTGTCCAAAATTCTGCGGTAAAATAATATCAATTCTACTCATTATTTCCACGTGAAATTATCGGTGTCATATATGCATTATCCTGTTACTGTCAACGACCCACTTTTCTCTTTCCTCTGCTTCACTCAAATAACATATTCGTCCTACCTTGTCATGTGGATCTGCTGGGGTGATTAGTCTTTGTGTCCTTTGCTGTTTACTCTCTTCGTAGCACTTCGGAGTCCTCTACTATTGCAGAACCGAAACGGGCTTAAAGACAGTGACTCTTCATGTTTTTTTTTTATCTTTGGAGCAAATCTGTAAAAACAAGGGCTGTAAAAAAATGCTACGGTTGTAATCTACTAACATTGCGGACTTTGTTTGGGCTGGCACGTGTTTTAAAACGTGTTGTGTTTGTATAAACGACACGAGCTCAAAATTATGTAAAAATTGGAATAGTGTAAATGATTAACTTGTCGAATACAATGAGGACTGCTGAGATCGTGCTTTACTAAAGGGTGTAGTAACAACAAATGTAAAACTTGTGTCCAGTAGCAAGTTGGAAACTAAACAACGCATTTCTAATGCAGCATCTTCTCAATTGATTTTTAGCCAGCCAAGGGCAATAGAGTGTTGTTGAGTATTTTTGATTGTAGTACTGATGACTTTTACGTGTAAAAAAGCTTATGTGATAACGGATTGTGGATGCGTGAAACTGTCGAAGCAACAGTGTTACTATTTTGGTACTCTTGAAGAAGTGCGTCGCATGGGTTGCGCAGTTCACGCCCCGTGTGTAATAGCGGCCGACGGAGAGATCAGAGCGCTGGCCATTGTGTACATAGTATTGTTGTTCCACACTATTTGTGATAAAACTATAATTGATGATGGTAAGTTAAATTTGCTAGTTATTAACAATCATTTGTCAATAGTCATTAGGAAACCAGTGACTAAAGTGTGTCGTCAGATGTTGTGTATGATAAGTATGTGAAAGTTGGTATTATGATTGGGGGGGAAGAAGTGGATGCATGACTGCATTCATGCTCCGCATATTCCTATTTCGTTCGATTCTCAATCGCCTCGAGATATTACTCTTCAATTGTGCCTAAAGTTCCTGCCTCTAGACTGTATATCCCAAGTTCATTAGCTAAGATCTAGTAATAGTGAGTTTTAAGTATATTAAGTATAGTAAGTAGGCCAGGCCCCCTACCTGTGGACGAGTCGGTGATAGTGCAACTTAAATATCCTATTCTTCTGCAAAGGCTTGGTCTTTTACTTTCCTCGATAACGAGCTGTGACGTCTTTGAAAATTTTGATCTCAGGAATATATGCGGACAAGGGAAATTTTGAAACGCCAACGGATACTCATTAACTATCTGTAATGCGTCTTGCTATAGTCAAACAAGCAGCAAGTGTGAATAGAGCGTAATCGATATAAACTGCTCTACTTCATTGGTGTACGCGGAAAGTAGCGTCTTCATTCAACGTACCCGAGCTACAATGGGCTTTTGGAAGAGTTTTTTGTTCATAAGGTTAAGATGGCCAGTAGTAGTGGCTGTGAGAGCAGCCTACTACGTGGTAGACATTACTGCTGCGTTTGTATAAATAGGAACTTGGGATGAGCAGGGTAAACGTGATGTTGCCATGTGTATAATTATGTGCTTGTACAAGAAACGTCCTTCTGGATTCTTGAATGGTTCGGTTTGTTATGATGTTTGTGTAAATAGAACATATATATAAATATATAAATGTATCTTGTACGTATATATATATATATATATATATATATATATATAATATATATATATATATATACGTACATATATATACATATTACCAGAAGTAACATCATATCAGACCTAATATTGTGTTACGTCTGATATTACTTGAATCGTTTTATAGAACACTTGTTGTTCATCACCGAGGATGTGTTTATTAAAGATGGTAGTAATTGGAACGTATTTGAAATCTTTATCAGTATCACGTCTGAGTACGTTGCTAAGGTAATTTGTGTATTCGTGTGAAATACTCTCATTGTATTTTACGAGAAGTGTACAATGCTAATGTGAGAAGCAACTTTTAGCGATGTGTCAGTTTCCACGTGTACATCGAGAAATTTTACAATGTCACCCACCCCCTCCCGACCTTACACCGACCTTCCGCCCCGCCTACCCTCTACCGCCATCTTTGTTTCTATCCAGCCCACTGTAGGCCTCTGTGACTATATGGCTAGCCATCGTACTCAGAAATAATTATTTTTACCGCGATAGACATCATTAAACCGCGCTAAAATTATTGCCCTTTTTACCCAATCAGAGGCCTTGTCACACAAATTAACCACGGTAAAAATAATATATCCGCGGGTAAATTGTGTGATAAGGTCTCTGATTTGGTAGAAGGCCTATAATTTTACCGCGGTTAAATTATTTTCACCGCTTTTAAATTATGTGTAACAAGGCTTCTGATTAGGTAAAATAGCTATAATTTTACCGCGGTTAAATTATAATTTAACCGCGATTAAATTATTTGTACCGCGGTAAAAATAATTATTTTTGAGTACGATGGCCGACCATACGTAGCAGTTCCTTCCACATAGATGCTAGTATTTGTAAGTACGTTAAGTTTACTCAACCGGTATTCTCTATCTAATGGCCGCTGCAGATGGCTAGTCGAAGCTGAACCTGCGGCAAGGTGCAGGAACTGTAATATCATGTCTTCGGTAATTTTTAAGATACGATCTTGACTATTTTATAATACATTCATGCCACAGCAGGGTGATGGGCAGTACTGCACCGTACGCCATTGTCTGCTACTCCTCTGCGTATGCTGCTTTCATTTTTGGCAAGTTTGTATATCTATAAATGGTTATCATGCAGTTTCTAATTTGATTATTTTCATTTCCAATGTACATTTTGTTAACCTTCAATAAATTGTATGAACATACTTGCTTGCACTTTTGCTTGCCATGATTTGGTCTGCTATAAACGGCATTTTCACTGTATTCGCCAATTATGGAATGTCAATTCGTCAAACCAATCGTTTGACACATACGCACGCACTCGTGCTCAAGTGCTCCTATTACAGGTGAATATGTGCGTGTAGTAAATTTCGGATGCAAAAGGTTTACACAAAATTGGTCGGCCATTTGGTGGTGGTTTTCCAATGTCCAGCATATATGTCAAAAGAAATATTATTGTATATATCTCTTATTTAAAGTAGAGAGCACATATGCACGAGTCGTTTGACATTATATCTTCCTATCTCTATGTGCAAATCTAATCCTCCCTGCCGACGACTGGTGCAGCGCTGAAATCTAGCTACAGGCTTATCTGTTTTCTTCTTCTAATAAAACTGTCCTCTTCCGTTGAAAACAACGTTGAACAACACAACACTACCACACAACAGTACGTTGAACAACACACCAATACGTTGCCGTACAGTTTGGTTACAGTGATGGACCAAAACGCTTCCCAGGAACCTTAACTCTTTCCCCTCTCTTCTTCTAGCTTCTCCTCTTCCGCATATATCTATTATATATATATATATATATATAATATATAACACCCCGCCTTGCTTGTATATTCCCCATATACATGTTTCTACCAGATTAATAAACTTAACAAAACATGATTACGTGTAATGATAGATATGACGTATAGTATTGTATCTGTTTTCCCCGTGCGCACCCACAAGATGTACGAATCTAATTAAGTTTAAGGCTCACGTGGCAGTAATAATACAATTCAAAGACGAATTCTCTCGCTGTATATCTTTTAAGCTATAATACCTTATATAATAAAATACATCAAATTTACAATATATACAAGATGCTGCCTCGTGGACTCGCGCAGACAATGTACGTATACATACCTAGGCGCTTGTCTGATACGTGAACGTCGTTCCCTTATATATATGGACGCTGTGGCTTCGGGCCGTCACGAGTCGTACTGTCTAGGTTCGTGACACACATCCTATCTTAGAATTTCGGCGATTGCGTCTCGGTAAGGGTTTCAACCACAAAATGTTCGGCAAAAAGCATCCAAAGTAGACACGTGTTCATATTCAAGGGTGGTTAGCACAAATAACACCTTGCCTGCTCACATGGGATATGTGGATACGGAATTATATATATAACTATATACAGGGCCGTAGGCTGAGCAAATTCCTAGGAGGGCTGTGGCGGATCCAGGATTTCTAGGAAGGGGTGAGAAACAGT